AGTTGGAAAAAAAATTGAGCAGAGCCAACATATGTTGGCTTCCTATAAACATCTCTTTCTAACTTACCCTCTTCTCTAATGATAAAAAAATCCAGAAAAGGTAAAACCTTATTTTCTTCCATTTTCATCGTGAACCTAATGTGCCTTTCAGGCTGGTTAAGTTAAAATAAGAAACTATCTAAATTATCCTTACCATGAGGCCAGATGAAAAAATAGTCATTTATGTATCTAACCAACAATTTTGGTGTTAGTATTGCCTCTTACAGGAAGTGTTCCTCCAATTTTGCCATATAATTGTTCCCTAGGATGGAAGACAAGCAAGATCCCGTCACTAATCCTTGCGTTTGTTCATCAAAGGGAAAATATGTAGTACTCATGCATAGATAGATAATAAGTCTAATAATTGAAGTTACACTTAACCTTATTCCTTGTATTATCTCTGGATGATCCTCCAGAGTTTGAATATAGCCAATAATTGGCTATATTCAGTAGCAATTAGAGCTCTGTCTAGGATTATTCTGCTTCGTGTCCTCTATTAGCCATGTATTAGACCAGTTCAGATTTTTGGACCCATATATCTTTGTCTTAAGATAAACTCGCAGGCAATACTACATGAGCATAGGTCTTGTGAATAATGATCTATAAGAAGAGCCTGAAAATTCTAGGAAAGAAGACATACGTGAGGAGAGTGATAATTCCTCTATATACATTGTTCTGATATCTCACCTCCTCAGTACCTTGCCTATCTTTTATGAAAGCTGGAAGGACGGAAACATATGGAATCGATTAATGGTCTGTCTGTGAGCCCTTCCCTAAATTAATATTTACCCACACTTTAGTTAGTAGCATAGAAAAACATTGCCTATCAATCTTAGTGTATGATTGATTTTAACTTAAATATTCCTTAATCCTACTATTTCCTGCTCCCAGGGGTTTAATTCTGTTATGCGGAGATTCATTAGTAGCGTCGGTTTCATAACACATACTTTGACTCCACGTGCAGAATCCTAAATTAAAGTAGGATAAACCTACGTGAACAAGTTTCATAAAAAATTTCTGCCTAATTCATTTCCTTCATTACTTACCAGGACAACATGTTCTAGTTAGTTATTCTATCTTATCTATAAATTAGTTCAAGGAATTTTTCTAAATTCTCCTTGTCCTGTTGCTAAACTGTAAATTATCCATCCATCAACCTAAATAATCACTCAGGAATTAAGAGTGCTTCTTAAATTAAACGAGCCTCCATTTAAGACATGTATTTATTACCTACAATTAGAGCAAAACTCGATCCCATAGCTAAACAATGTGTTTGTTCATACAGCTTACTATTGAAGATTATATATATAAATATTCATAATAAAGTGGTTTTACCTCGTTTTGGCAGCTTAGCCAAATAGGCTGAGAGTGCATATTTCATTGGTAGCCTAAATATTTTCTAATAGAAACTGATGTTGAATGTGAGGTGTGCTCTTCTGTAATAAGGGAATGCGGAAGGAGTATATAACATTACTGATCAGCTTTTAATAAAGACTAGCCAGCTTACGTTCAAGGGAAATATCTATGAACAAAACTATGGACTAAATACAGGAATTAGACTCACATCCTTGGCAAAAGTATACGTGGAAAAATAAGAAAATGAATTCAAGACGCTATCATAGAAAAGAAGTGCTGATGCGATGCCCACATAGTTGGAAAATTTAGAAGAAATCCTAAAGCTTTTCAACCAGCTTGACGAAACAATTAAATTAGCAATGGAGATAAAGGATGATTCAGCACAGTGAATGGAAGAGGGGAAGGAAACAAGTATAGAGCACAAGTCAGGCCCAAATGAATTCGCTTAGAAGGGCACACTCCCAGAGTAGATGAAAATAAGCAGGTCAGTGGTTATGATAATAAGGGCGGATAGATGAGGGCATGGGATAAGTAAATGTCTGAGAACTCTTCAGCAGAAAGTTGGTCAACTCTAATATATTTTAGAAGCAGGAATGTATTATTCTCATGCGAATATAAGATAAAAGGAAGTGGCTGAGTCCTAAACTCAGCTAACATAAATAGATAGTTTCAGATTGACAACAAATCAGATTATCTATACTCATATAAATTGAAATATGTATTGTAATAAATTAAGAAAAATACTAAAGATGCCGTTTTATAATGCTAGTATAGCTTAGGCAATGACCACTAGGTCAAAAGCTAGTTTAGAAGTATGAAGAAATAATGAATCTTAGATATACAATGAATCATGGACAAATCTTTTAGCCTACAAAACGGACATAATAATTAGCTTAAGCCACCGGAAAGGCAAAAGGTCAATGAAATCGCATATAAATTGAAAGGATGTATTTTGATATAAAAGATTGAAAAGGTATGCAACTTGCATAAAACAAGGAGAATAATACAAAAATTGTGAAAAGTAATGGGCCAAATCTAAGGAATATCATTAAACGCCACTATTTTAAATAATCGTCCATAAAACTTGTGGCTCACGCGTCCTTCACTGCATCCTGAAGGTGTCGATGAGTGCTCAAGGAGACTATGGCATCCAAATGGATAAATAAGTTCAGATTGGACGGATCAGCGTTCTCTGGAGGGCTGCCAGATTGTTCAGGTGATCTAGCGTCTACCAATGGAGTAAAGGCGGTCGCCCCTGGCGCCAGCTCAGCTGGAGAAGAAAGCAAAGATTCGGAATTCGGTTCTGGATCTGTACTAGTGGTTGTTGCGGCCACATTTATGTCGGCAAGAGAATCAGTTACCAAATTAGGTTGTTTATTACTTTCGGTATCGGAAAATAAGGAGGGACCATTCACACCGTCAGTGACGGAATCAACATGCAAGCGTCTGTCGATCTGAGCCGAATGGTTAGCGGCTGTATCAGCAGTATCAAAGCAGAGCGAATCAGTAGTAATGAGAAGGATTCCGTTAATAAAACGCTGAACGGATATAAATGGGAACCGGAAAAATTTGAAACTTTAGCCAGAAACTGAAATTTGTATAAAATATAAAGCCCCTATAGGACCAAAATAGTTTAATGCAAATGTATGTTTCGATTATAGAAATAGTTAAAAAATCGAGATTATTATATGAATTTGCACGAAGTGCACAAAAATCCATGATCCTTAGCTTTAACATTGTTTGGGGGACTTTCATTTCGCATTAAAAAGCATGAAGAAGAAATTCGTAGATCAATCTCATCAGATGAGGACGGCTGAATCGCGTTTTACTGCAGCCGTTTGGCTTTTATACGACGTTCAGGTTGGGCAGTAGACAAGACCTTCTCCCTCGTTTCGGGTGAAAATGAAAGTTTCTCCAACAGTGTATCTCAGGAGATTCATCAGAACCCAGTTTCTCTTCGTATCTTTAGCCTTATGTATAAAAAATATGGTGACCTTACACCACAGTCAGTCTTTTGTTACATCTCTCGTCACAGCCAGCTAGTAAGCAGCCCTCGTTCAACCACTCTGAACAGGACACATCTGCTCCATGTACTGAAGTGCACAAGAGCATTTTAGGCCTGATACTAACTAAAGCCTGGCATTTTCCCATATAACATTCTGTGGTGGAATTGGTGATGAAGCAATCGCCTAACTTATATTTCGCATATAAGTAAGGTTTCCAGTCTACCAGTAGGTCATAAGATATCAGGCATAATCTCCACGGATCAACTCTGCGATTCAACTCGCGCATCATGAGCAACCTTTGAATGTCTATTTCTGGTCGCCTGCTACATCTCAAGTGGATTTTTATTCAAGTTGGCAACATTGTAGAATTTATGAAATGGTTGTGATTATCCGTCTCCCCATGTCTTGTGGCCGCCGGGCCCTCATAGTACTAGTTGTTTCCTCTAACAGACTGCATTAGCTGAGGACGCCTTTCCAAATGTTTCTCACCCATTCCCTTTTTGCAATCCCTTTTACTCCGGTTAACGATATATCCTCGATCAAGGCAACTCCTTTTCGATGGTCTTGCTTTCTCCTTGTATACATCCTATTTAGTTTAAGGTGATGAAGGAGTGGCAGTTGCATTTTCCCACAAAGAGATGGATAATGATGGACTGCAGCTTTGAAATCGCCTAGGTCTTATCGGCTCTACTCCTATCATTGTAGGGAAAGTCAACTACCACTCCTTCATCACCTTAAACTAAATAGGATTGATACATCACAAATAGCTGATTTACAGAGTCTTTAAATCTTACTTAAAACGAAAAATAGGCAAAGTTATCACAAACTCCGCCTTCTTCCTAACTCCTGTTCATTAAATATCTCCCGAGCAATCAAACTTAGTTACCGACTCATGTTTCATGGGTAAACTTTTGAAGGGTGTCGTTTTATCCTTCGTCGTAACCTGAATATTCCATTTGCTTAAAATTGAGTTCATTAGTTAACAGGAAGGTAGGCATATTCACTTTTGCAAGACTTTCTCCATCTTTAATGTTCTTTCAAAATCCCCGACCTCCCATCGGCTTTTCATAACACGAATGTTTCTCTGAATTATTTCTCTCAAGTATCCGTTGCCGAGGCATATGCGAATCAATTTATCAAATTCATCAGCTCAAACTTCCGCGTCTATGAATCACAGGCCTCTGAGGACAATGCTTCTCGTTATTCAGATTTATACTCTGTATTTGTGATGGGATTAGAAATTGAGTATTATCCCGGTAAATAAAGTCTTTCTAAGCAATCTTCTCTTGAGTGTCCCATTAGAGCAAACAACTTGAACATCCAGGAAAGGAAACCGCTCCTCTTTTACTTTCATTTAGAATTTGATGTTTTCATCAATCCGTTAAATAAACTTTAGAAAATACTCCAATTTTTTTCTTACATGCAGCCAAATTGAAAGGTAGTCATCTAACTACCACATAATAACTATTGGTTGCAGCGGTGACGCATTGAAAATCTCTTTTGATTCGCTCGTGTATACATTTTACAAAAGATATGAGAGCAGCGATCCCATAAGAAGTTCAAATGTATATTCATAGATGTTGCTGCTGAATGTGAATTAGGTATGTAGTGAGATGACTTTTCATTTCAAAGAAAAAGTTGGTTAGAAGGGATTTTTGATATGGCCTCACCGGAAAGCGAAGGAGGATTGCCTTGTAAATAAGACTGCTGTATTGTGCGAAGTAGTCCTCGGCTCACTGTCCTGTGACCCTGATGAACTTGTACTAAGCTTTCGTCTGTACTATAGTAAACATCATCAAAACAAGAATCCATACTTTACGTAATGAAGAAAAGATATAATAAACCAAAAGAAAAGGTGACCGGCTGCAAACTTAGTCACTTTTTATACACCTAATCCTGCGATCTAAATGAGGCATCCCATGATTTGGTTGGCTGCTCCAACCTTACCCTGCACACTTGCAAATAAGTGAAGTTACTTCTCTAACCGGAAGTGCGTTCGTTGGCAGCTGTTTCCCTACACGAATAAACTAGTTTACGGTCATCAAATGTTAAATCATGTTTGGGCTTGTGTCTTATATTGTGTATATGTAATGTTCATGTCACGGGAAGTGTGATAGGCCTAGCTAGACTCGAGGCTAATCCAGCCCCCTTCTCTAGTTCTATGGTTTTTCCTGCTCTCGCTCGCCTTAAGCCTATCCAACAGCCAAAAATAGTTCATACTCAGTCTTATACACTCGTTTCTCCTATTCAGGACGTTGGCTGTTCTGTTACTTTTCATAGGCTCCTAAATCTTACGCTTTGACGTAAAGCCACTGTAACACGCAAAATGTGTTCTGGACCAGTTTATTGAGTGTCCTATATTGGCCATGTTCAGCAAGCTCAGCTTTTTGGACCCACATGCCTTTACAAGTAGTTTTGTGCTCGCATAGTCTCTTATGAATGGATCGGCAGGTCTTCCCCACATAAACTTTACCACATGAGCACAAAACCTTGTAGCAGCCTGCTCTAGAAAGAGGGTCCGAAAATTCTCTAAACGAAGGAACTACTGGAGGGCTGAACAAGATCTCATAGCTAAGCCCCATATTTGTTCATAAAACTCACCATATAATGTAAAATATGTATTATACATTGCCAAAATGACTAATCTTTGCTTAACTTTTTACCTTTTATAATTTCTGGGTTTTGATCCAGCGTTAATTATACCTTCATTTCCTCGTTTATCGGAATGCTAGTGTACATATACACTACACCGAAACTTACCAGCAAATCTCCTTTTTCTATCAACTGATATGGTAAGTTTTGATGTACACAAATATTCTGATAAACGAGGCAATAGAGGCATTAGAATTCACTCTAAATCAACATGCTCAAATTATGACAGGTAAAAAATTAGATAAGGATTCGATCATTAGATTAGCCAATTTGGTAATGTATAATACATATTTTACCTTCAATGATAGGTTGTATGAGTAAACACTGGGTTTAGCTAAAGAATCTTGTTTAGCCCCTATTTTAGCTAATAACTACATGACCCAATAAGAAGTTAGCGTTTTTCAAGAAACACTCCTAGTTCCCAAGTTATTAGTTCGTTATATGGACGATTACTTTGCTGTTTGGCAGCACGGCACAGATAGTTTAAGGGAATTCCTTGAGCTAATAAATAGA